CTATGTGGAAGAACTGCAAGAATCTGGCTGCAATGAAATTGATTGGAAGACAATGGGAAACACGCAACTGCTCTGCAGAAATACGATTTTACTTATTATTTAGAAATCAGAGTCAGGAGTTCAGATAGTGCACAACATCTTCTTCTTGCTCAGCAGTCAGCAGATTGATGTGCCCTTGAGCAAGTTGCTAAAGGCAAAAGTGTTTATAGCTGTTTGTAATAGCCCTACTCGAAGGTGGAGTGGAAAGCCCGCCATTATAGAGAAGGGCGAGACGTGATATTCATACAAATGTGTATAATGGTGCACACTTTCCTACAGTCTCTCCTTAAAGGCATAATGTAACACGACTCCCATCTACGGCGTGGATGGACACGAAACACTTTTGATTGAATCATCGATACAAACGTTGAACAGCCGTGTTCGAAAATATCTGGTTCTTTGACAAAATGTTGAAGGCGCAGGTTTGTGTGTATTGGTGCCATGGAGACATTAAGGGGAATATATGCGGATATGATGGCAAACAATCACAAATATTTACTTGGAAAAGCCCCCAAATGAAGATAATTTTACTCAAAACACAACATAACAGAAAAACTTTCAATACAAATACCAAAAGGTGCCATTAGAAATTAATAAAATGTATATATATATATATATATATATATATATATATATATATTGTACTGTATGCGTGTACAAGATTATGATGGTTTGGATTTTAGGTCAATAGTAATTAATTCAGACATTATGGCGTTTTATTTACAAATTCAACAACAAACAATCTGACTTCACTATCAGTCGATTTGAGCCCGTTACTGGAGATTCCGATACCGTTCTGCTCTTCAGCTAAAGCACACCGGCACCTTGAAACAACAGTCATAATTTGAAAAACGCAGTTAAGCAACAAGAGCCGACAAGATGCGCGACCTGCCCAGGATGCGGTTCTAATGAAGTCGAATAGCTTTTGGACTCCTGTGTAATGTGGTGCATCCTCCCTCTGTGAATCATTGTCCACAGTCTGTTTAAAAGGTGGCCGCGCTGTCCATTTACTCGACCCGCTAACTCACTCAGATGTGTTAAATGGAGCGTGGGCTGGACCGGTAGTGGGAGTATTTCCGCACCCTGAGTCAGCCTTCTCTGAATAAATGAATAATTTGGCCGTGTGCGAATGTGTTTTTCTCTGTTGGAAAACAAAGGCAAGTTTTCACGTGTGTTTCCATATCTATTTGTCTGATGCGTGTACAGTATGTGTGGGCGACGGGAGTGTGTGTGTGTGTGTGTGTGTGTGTGTGTGTCCTCCTCACATGAGGCCAAGTTTGGACTTGCCCCAAGCTGAAATGACGTTTTTCAGTTTTCATCTCTCTCGTTATCTCTTCCTCCCTCTCTCTACTCAAAGAAGAAACATGAAAATGCATTTGAAAAGTGTCAGGCAAAACAAGATGAAATGGACGAGGTACCGGATCAGGCTCTGGCATGTTTTCAAACTATGTGCCGCCAGAATTTATTTAAATAAATGGCAGGTAGATTAAATCTGCTCGTATGATATCCGTGCCCAAAAAAATCAACCTCCTCTCCAAAGAACATACGGGATATTTATGTAGAATGCATCAACCTCTGATATGAGACTAACCATCTGTAGAAACAGACAGACAGACCCACCGTTCTTCTCCGTCATCCCTCAATATATCAGTCCTAATGCAGAGTACGTTCCCTGTTTTGCTTCCGATAGATACAGAATCATTAGCTCTTCCTCTCCCTCTCTAGATGGGCTTGTTCAAAGACAGCTGCTTCCTACTCCACCATCCTACATGCCCGTACCAACGAGCATGTAATACGTTTTCCCTCCCACATTCCCTTTGCAATACGTCCGAAACAAATGTTTCGCATCCGTTGCTGCTGGCTGATTCATGGGAGGACTTAACGCTTCTCAGATGGAGCGAGTCGATCCCTCCACTCGGCAGAAAACGTTGGGTAAAAAAGGCTTTTACTGTCGGGAAGTTTGTCTTTTCCCGTAAATGTGAATGGCGGAATAAAACCGACCGACCACATGCATCCAGCATGTCAGGTTCCTCTTTTTCCTGAGAGTTTTAAACCAGCAACTCCCAGCAGGTAAAGCTTTCAGGTGAAGCCCCGGTGCTTCTGAGGAGCCCCACTGGAGCACAACACTATCTGATATGTTCCTCTGAACTCCCCTGAGCTCGCTCTACTGTTAGAGATCATTGCAACATTGGTTATTAGCTGCATCCCTGCACTAAAGTGTTCTTACACTCGATTGCCAGTTCATTAAGTACGTAGCTAAAACGAACGCGCTCTAATGCCTTTTGGACAATGTAGTTTCTTCTGCTGTTGAATTACACAGAGAGGTGTTTGCTATTCAGCCTCATTGACATAAGTGGACTAAATGACAGATCATACATTCATGTATTTAAATAGAACAAGCAAGCTAGAAATACAGTAACTTGTTGATCTTTACATAAACGGTTCTTTGAACTGCTTTTCTCTCCTTCCTTCCAGCTCTTTTCCTCTTCTACCCTCCTCCATCTTTAATGTTTCCTCTTGTACACTCTGACAACATCGAGAGCAACCCCCCCACCCCCCCGCCAGAGACAAACAACTGTCAGGCGCCCGACTGCAGGTCTCCGCTCTTCCTTCCCCCCTGGTGCCATTGCTACGCCTATTAGCCACGAGCTAATTACCCAGCGGCCCTCCCTGCGGGATTGGCTAGCCCACCTCTAAGCTAATTAGCATGCACCTGATTGAACGGGCAGGGCTGGCCGAGCAAGTGGAACTAAGAGTGACAGACGTGGAGACACTGTCGAGGTAAAATTAGACAAAGTGGGAAGGGAGATGACGGGGTGAAACAAAAAGCTACGTTAGCCGTAGCGCTAATTGGGAGAGGAAACATTGTGCAAAATGTTTGAGAATCTCTTAAAGGGAGATTGTTGGTGATTAGTATTAACAACCCAGTGGAGCAGGCACCAAATTGGTCGCAACATTGGGGGCGTGATGCTTTTCTATTGTTCATTAACCACAGCAGAACCTTTGTATAGCTTGTCATCTGTGTAGCACTAAACTGGAATCTTTCAAGGGTCATTATGCTGCCAGAGCTCCATGGCGCCGCTGCAGTGCTGCAGTAGATAATAAGCACAGAGAGCTCCACTTTTCTGTGTTGGCCCCCGGAGGAGCAGCTCCGTCACTGAGACCACCCACTTCTATATAGAATACGGGTGGAGGGGGAAACTGTGGGGAAAGTCCTGTGAAGCAGTTGTTGTTGAGCAGAGTTCCTGTAGGTGTTTGAAGACTTCTACATACGGAAAAAAGATGTGATTATGCACCAGAATGTTAAAAAGAAACCTTGGAAAAGTGTGTGCATGAAACAGCTTCTGTCACTTTCTTTGTGTGGCTTGTCCTTGAGAGTCGAAGCGGGCATGTGACAGGTGTGTGCGAGACGTCTCTGCGTGTCTCAGCCTCCACATTGCAGGCGCTGTGTGGTACTCACAAACACACACAGCATGCACAATGAGGAGGCCTCGAACACGCCTCTACACGGGGCTCATCAGTGACTTCCACAGACTGTTTCACTGATTGCGCTTGGTGTCTCGCATCGTTCAAGGTACAACTTGCTCAACTGAAATTAAATTCTTTCAACCTCTCTTATTCCTCCGCACAGCATCATTCTTTTTTAAAAATAGTTTTTCTTTTGAGCATTTTATGCTTTTAATAAATAGCTGAAAGAAGAGAGATGGGAAACAGATGCAAAGTGGTGACATTGTGGTTCATGGTCAGCATCTTGACCCGCCCAACACCCTGCACATTAGAAACTACGTAATGCAAACCAAAAGTGGCTGATGCACATCAAGTACACACGACAAACTATGTGGTTTACACCAGAAACACGCTAACAGCTATGATTGATGTAGTCCATGGTGGAACCAACGAGTATGAATTAGAAACTAGTATAGAATCTAGTAAGTACTGTCTGATTGCACTTAAAGCTATGAAGTGCGCAGTGGACCATATTTGGACTGCGGAGGAGTGACGTAGAGATGCTGTATACGGCTCTGGTCCTGTCAATTCATCACAGAACAATTCATCACAGAACCCAAATGATCCCAATGAGGGTGATCGGTTACGGAGAGAAACCGTCCTTAAAAACGGATGTAAATTCTCTCTGCATTGCGTTTTTAACTCCACTGCTCCACTGTGGCATTTTCCCCTGTGACTCAGTCTTTTGGATCCCCCACCCCCCCACTCCCTGAACTTTAAATTAGTGCATGTAGACTAATCAGGGCTCTCTCCACCGGGCTTCAACTTTTATGATTAAAAAAAATGAGGCGACAAGAGTTACACCGTACTTGTTTTTTTAATAAGGCCTGTGACAATGGCTCCTCGTACACCCTTTAATGAGCCGCATGCCCCGGGGTGTGAGCCAGTGCTCCTTTGGGTGTCACTTTAAAAAAATACTGAGCATGCTGTGTTGAGCCAGGAGGACCTGTATTGCCTTTCGACCATTCCCTGCCCCTTACCCAGTACAGATTTTGCTAATTGCAGACGGTAACCCTGAATTTACCTGATATTAATTAACTGGATTCACTGTATAAATTATCTTTAATGCATACATTTTGAGATCATCCTGCAGATATTTAGGGTTTTTTCTAACCCGTAATCCTCCCCAAATTCAATAAAGACGTAAAATTAAAAATTGGCTTAAACTTATATTTGTTTTAATAATCAATGACGAACAACAAAAACTTTATGTCAAGAGTGATACATGTTTTTAGGTTTTTTTAGTATTTGATTTAAAAGATGTAAAATATCTAAATAGGACTTTTAAGGTTTGCATATGACACTATATTTCCAATTATGGATGCGAACCAATAATGCACATTTGTCAATGAAACTGGATTATGTTGACGCATCTGTGGTCAAAACTGTTCTTTAACCTCCATATTCATGCATCCACTACTACTCACAAAATACAAACATAAATACAAACTCACCCTCTTCCCACGACCACCAGCCGTGTACCAGTTTCCCATGAACAACCTGTGACAGAGAGAGAGTTTCACATCCCTCCACGTCCTCCATGACCACTTTCAGACTAATTGGAGGGAGAAGAAAAGGAAACGTTTACTTTATTGTGACAGCCAAGGACAGAGCACCTTGGTTAAAACGTAACTTTTAATGGTCCTCATGTTCCACCTGTAACGGCCAAGATCCTGATAATTAAACCCCAAAGGTAAAATTCTAAATGTTCCTTTCTTACACACACAGCAGATGCTTTAACTGGCTTTGTTTGTATTAGACATACAGTACAAAGCAGACGACAAACAACAGTCCTGAAAAGCAAAGTCAACGTGGAAGTTCCTTAACTTTGTACTAGTGTCCACCAGGGGGCGACTCCTCTGGTTGTATAGAAGTCTATGAGAAAATGACTCTACTTCTCTCTTGATTTATTACCTCAGTAAACATTGTAAACATGAGTTTATGGTCTCAATCTTTAGTTTCAAGTCTTCTTCAACACAGCATGATGTTCATTTAATACATTATGGTCCATTTAGAGTCAAACAGACCATAAAGCAGGGGATGCTTTAGGGCGGGGCTACACATTGATTGACAGGTCTCTACAGGTCTCTCAATTAAACGATGCAACAGCGAACATGTTGCTCCCTACAGTTGATGCATTTCCTCCAAGGGCCTACCGGTAAACACCTTGCACTCCTTGCTCATAATTGGTCGAGAGACTAACCGAGCAGGAGGAGATACACAGTGGACCTTCTCCAATGACTGACGGGGTATTAATATGTTTGACATGGAACATATTACTCAAGTGCAGAAGATGTTACAGAGCCTATAGCGTCTCTCTGTCTTCATATCCACATCGGTTATCTTTTCATCTAAATTTCGAGTGCACAATGGGAAATTTTGAAGAAAGATTTTCCACAAGAGAGTGAATTATATTTTGTTTGTTTTGCGTTGTAATAATTCCTCAACAAATTAAAATGCATGCAATTGAGACACGAACGTAACGCCGTACCCGTCGTCCAATCAGAGCATCAGTCTCTCATTCACAAACTCGCTTATTCCCGCTCTCTTTCTGCCGCTCGTCTGGCAGTCGCCCCTTTGCCCTCCCGGCTTCTCCTTCCACCAGATGACTCAAACATCGGAGACACCTTTCCTGCAGAGTCGGCCCGCCAATGTTCTGCTCCAGACGCAGATCGTGTGGGCGGGGGAGTCTGAGTCAGCGTTTGTAACTGCGTAAAAAAATAATAATTCTGCATCCTAAACAAAGGGCGGAGAAGTCTTTTCTATCTCAAAAAGTTAGATCTGCAATGTCTCCTGGGCCAATCAGAGTAGTTCTGAAAACGCTGCAAGTTTAGTCAAAATAAAGATGCCGAATGGATAAATAGAAAAGAAGTACAACATTCCCGTGGATCATAGGATTGTAGAAGCCTCAAAAGAGTTGTATCCCCCAAAAAGAATAGAAGCTCTGAACACTTCATTTGCATAACAACCAACTGCCACTGCCAACAAAGAGTACTTGTGTCCAACTCTTCAACACTCCCACAGCTCAGCCAGTGAGCTCCATGCCTACTTTTAATGATCAGAATAGCAAGAGCTGCCAACTGTTTCATCACTGATCGATGCATTTCCATCCGGTGTTGTTAGTGTCCGAACCACAATGATTCAGAGCAAGTGCACTAGCGTTTCCTTTCACCCCGTCTCCCAGCCACTCAGCCACTGGCTCATTATGACTCAAATGGCAGCAGGACAATCACTCTGGATTTGGCACTTCACAAATTTTAGGACCGAATTATTTAAATGAGGGATATTTAGGGGTTCGTACCGAGGCGTCCGATCAGCTGCCAAATATTTGTTGTTGTCAAAGTCTCCAATGACGGATGGCGATGTCAGCCGGTTGTTCAGTCCACCGCTTTGGTCCAGAAGTATCTCAACTATAAGATGGATTGCCAGGAACTGTTGTGCTCACATTCATGGTCCCCAGAAGATGACTCCTACTGACTTTGGTGATCCTCTGACTTTTCAGCTAGTGCCACCAGCAGGTTAAAGTTTCCACTAATCTCTGAATTATAACAACTTTGCAGATTTTCTAACTTTTCATCCGGCACTATCATTTGGTCAACATTTTTATTTGGTTTAAGACCAAATACATTGAAGAAGAAGACTTTGTGTTAAGTGGCAATTAGCGATATTAGCATGCTTACATGCTAAAATAGAACGGGGGTCATGGTAAACATTATACCTGACAAACAATCCGCATCAAAAACACACTTTTCTTTAATAAATAAACACCTCCGCTGAATGTTTATATAAGAAAGTTTCAGTTTTCTGCCATTCACCTGCTTGCTATTGCTCTTTAAGAGAAAATCCTGGCAGTTTGAAAAGCAACACAAACTATTTTCAGCTGGTGACATATTTGCCATTTTGTCTTGTGCATTTACAATTTATTTCACAACAAGTTTACACTTTTGTCCCGTCTGTTCGCGTCCCGCGTAGGTTTTTATATAAAGTCCCCAGGAGAGTGGATTATTCCGGTGAAACTCTGACTCCCATCGAGCCTCTGTCTCTATGAGCATATATTGCACATGCTGTTCCATCGGAGGGACCCGAGAATCTTTGACTGCAGGTTTCGGTAGCATCTCGCTAACCTTTAGCGGAGGTGGATGATGAATCCAGCAGCGCTTAGGGAGCACAACTGTGGGTGTTGCTGCCGCTGCTAGACTGTAATTATGCAGCAGCAGCATAAAGATACAACAGTGTCCTTCTGTCTTTCACGCTGCATTCAAAGCATCGATGTCGATCCTTGTTTGTACTAACATATCATTATTTTGAACCATACTTATAGAAATTATGATAAAACAAAAAGATAATCTTTTGATATTCTGTGGTGTTTAAATTGACCTCATCCTTTTCATTCCCACTTCAAGTTTCGAAAAAAACTGGCACATCTATAGACTTTTGGCCAACCTTCATTAGATTTGACACATGTTAGAGGATACACAGACACATATCATTTAATGTAAACTTTAGCTGTGCACAACTGTCTATGTGCAGCAACTGCACAGAGCGGAGAGGCTCCCCGAACAGAACGGCACAATCAGGCCTTCGGGGCAACATCAGCGCATGAAAGCAAACAAGCAGTTTTGAATATATGAATAGAAAACTAAAGACGGTGTGTGTGTGTGTGTGTGTGTGTGTGTGTGTGGGTGTGTAAGAGACAATTCTCCCACCGGACCTTCAGGGTCAGAAGGCTAATAGCAACACGCTATTACGACGTGAGTGAGTCATTCTCCACCTCCGGGCTGGTGTGGCATCCCTGCAGTAATTTGCAATTATATTAAAAGCTGCGTCAGAGCACAAGTTTCCTCTTCTAGATTTATGTAGTTCTCGAATTGCGCCGGGAACAACTGAGTCAGTGCTGATGTGTGTGTGTGTGTGTGTGTGTGTATGTGTGTGTGTGTGTGTGTGTGTGTGTGTATGTGTGTGTGTGTGTGTGTGTGTCTGTGATTTGATGGAAATCAAGGTATTTTTTTTAAGAACCGTGGTTCTGACGTGTGATGACCTTTTGTAATCTCATTTAGGTCTCATTTACTAAAGCATTTTGTATCCTAGAACAAAACATTCAAATCTCTTTACCTTGTGTTAACCATGGACCTTAATTCAGGCATTTCAAAAAACCCATCGACTTTACACACACACACACCGAGTCACCCCTAAGATGTGAATACATATTGGCAGAAGTCTGCCTGTCTTCCAGGGACCTTTCAAGAACCTTCAAGTATATCTATGGTGCCAGTCTGATTGTGGTGATCCAGAGAACCACAGTCCTTCACTGATCTGAGTCAGCAGGTCTGAAAAGTGTCCGTCATCTCCTTGACACCTTGTCTCTGCATCTAAAGAAGTCCATTTCAGCAAACTGGTGTCGGTATTTGGTGCAAAAGTGCGGAAAGACGCTGAAAGGGTGCGAGAACCAGCATGCCTTATGGGCTTCTCCGAAAACCCAATTGAACGCTGTGACTGGTAAGAGCTGCATGTAGGTGTGTGTTTTGTTTGTGTGAGTGGGTGGAGGCTGTGAGGTGTAGCTGAGATGACCTCTTTGTGTGTGTGTGTGTGTGTGTGTGTGTGAGTGAGTGTTTGGTAGCCTGAAGAAATCATCTCGTGTTTTGAATTCTCACTTGAATTCTCTTTGCTGCATCCGTGGTCGAGTGTGTTCTGTGGATATGTGTGCATGTTCAAGAATAACTAATTGATCCGGTTACCAGTGAAGAATAACATGTCTCTGACACGCACAGACGAAGCAGCGTTATTTGTTCAGCCTTTGATCACAGAGGCAGCTCAGGAGTTGCACTTCAAGATGATGCTGGATTGACAGCAAAGATTTTAAAAAAAACGGTTCCCTTTCAGTCCTAAAAACTTTTACTTTAACTACAAATGACGTAATTAACATCACCACCGAACACTTTCCACACCAGAGGAGCTCATCGTTTTGAATTTATGTTCCACATGAATCTAATTAGACTAATAACCTGGTTCATAGAGCACACAGAACCAAAACAAGTGGCAGACCAGACCTGATGGCCATCAGGGTGAATAAATACAGCCCTTATGAGCACTGTAATATAAAATAACATTCAAAGGGCACTGCAGCCATGAAGAATTAGACGGTCATAAGGAGGGGGGGGGGGGGGGGGGGGGGGG